ATCATCATCGTTGTCGTCGTCATCATAGTCATCATCATCATTTTCATTGCATATACATTGAGCCTTTGCAAATTTGCATACGGCATTGCACGAAACTTTGTGTATTTTGCCTTGGATACGTTTGCGGATGTTATGTACTAGATGTACGTGTCTTCCTTTATTTCTCTTCCAGTCGTGGTCAAGTCTTCCTGCAGTTCTTTTCCCCTCAGGCTCACGTCTTTCTGCAATCCCCTTCCCGTTAGTGTCACTTCCTTTTCCAATCCTATACCGGTCATGGTCACTCCAGTTGGGCTTTGTGCAACTTTCACAGTAGGACTGCATGAAGTGGCAGGCTTCTCTGCAGCTATACCTCAAAATGCTATGTTTGGCCTTTTTCTTGATCCACCCTAGCGCGTGGCCGGGATGCACATTGTGCTTGTGTCTGTATGTTCCCTTAATCGGTTTAATCCCTGCAGCCAGTGCGAGTAGCGCCACCTGTGCATACGCGCGCGAAATCCACTTTTAATTACGACACTCGTCACTGCGTCTACTCCTTACCGCGAGCCTTTTACGAAAGCGCAAGTTTTCTTCATTTTACGATACGGCGTTATCGAGTCTACGCGAGGTGGGGATGGCCTGGTCTGCCGCTCCGTCTGCTGGAAGCAGTTCACGCGCGAATCATGAGAACACATCCAGGGCCGGACTGGGAAAATCATTCAGGCCGTGAAATATAGCGCGATATATTGCCCCAGTCAGGCCATTTTTTAAGCGGGGGGTCTGGGGGTCCCGGGACTCCCCCACCAAGAAAAGTTTTGTAATATGGCCTGCAGGCCGCAGATTTATTAAAAAACATTTTTTTTGGGCAGGCCACTTATAGCAGGCCAGGCCACTGGGAAAAGTCCCGGTGCTCCCGATCGCCAGTCCGACCCTGAACACATATTTAGTTTCCACGTAGAGCAGCGTGGAATGTTTTGGCGCAGAATACGCTATATAGGTAATCATCTTCGCGTGCGTCTCCGAGATTCGTCAGCAAACTCTATACTTACCAGAAGTGCGACCCAAAGCGCCATCCATTTGTACGATCCCATCTTCTGTTCTCATACATGCGTTCCTGTTGGCGCTATGGATTCGGGGCACGCAAGGATGGATGCAGGGCAGTTCGCAATACGGGGCACGCTTCTAAAAAAAATCATCGCACACAGATTCTTTTAAGGGGGTGGGGGTGACACACTACGCGAATTTCGCTGCGATCAGATCCGCGATAAGCAGTTATTATGAAGACCATGGTGGCCGGCAATGCAGGGTAAAGAGAGAGAGAGAGAGAGAGTGTGTGTGTGTGTGTGTGTGTGTGTGTGTGTGTGTGTGTGTGTGTGTGTGCGCTGTGCGTGTGTGAGAGAGAGAGAGACCAGAGAACGAGAAATGTGTGAGAGAGATTCTCACAACGCAATCTCCGCGCCAAGCGCCCACATGCATCAAAAACGAACGCGCTATACCCGATATCCGATCTAAATGAACATTGATTCAATTCCACCGATTGTATTCTACACTCACCGGCGTTCGACGGGTAAATCCGCAATTCGTCACCCAATCGCTTCTCGGTTGACTCTCTGCCTGCGTTGACTCCGCTACACGGGGAGTCCCTCAATGTGACCTATGGAGGACGAAACTGTCGCGAACAGAATGAAGATGACCGGTCGAATGCCGCGCGAACTAAAATCGTGTCCAGAGAGCGAGTCGTTAGTTAGAACGACAATCTCCATACAGGCGTCTGACGCGTCTAACACGCACTGGAAAGTATTCCGTGCCTGCTGCTAGCTGACCTCTGCTTTAACAGCTAAATATATTTTTGTTCAAATTTTGTCAAAACACACGCACGCACGCACGCACCGCACGACAAACGCACTCGCACACACAGCGCCGGCGCCGCCATTATCAAAGATTATGAGTCCGGATTTGCAGTGGAAAATTGCCAAATCGATGTGGGCCTATCTGGTTAAGCGCTCAGACCATTCGAGGATGGAAAAGGTTGCAAGATCTAGAAGTCGAGATACAAACATGTTGACACAGGTGTTGTTCCGCTAGAGCTAAACACTTCTCCTGTTTTGCTTCAAGCGATGAACAGTTAGGTCATTAGACAAACGGTAAGCCGGGTAGAAATAGTCGTCAATTCATCTATAAGCCACGATCGAATGCGGGCAGATTTCTAAGATAGAGAATAATTTTTAGAAATAGGAAGACTATGAACAAAATTTAAAAATCACAATTGTTTTTTTTACGAGGTAGGCAGGGTCATACGGCGCCGCGTAACATCGAAATAATGTCGAGCGATTTGGTCGCGTGAGTTTCACTCGACGACCAGTCCTATTCATAGACGCGGAGTATTAAAACAACATGATAGTATAGACCATCGTTTCTCTCTTGTTTTTATTAGTTTAGGAACTTGTTTTATTCGTTGTTTGTAATTGCCTGTAAGATCCTGCGATTACCCGTGCATCATAACTTATTTGAATCTTGAATTTGAATTTGAAAACGTGTCCGGTGTCGACAGCACGCGTGCAATGACCTGACACACACGCGTCCGACGCGATCGGGGACAATAAAGCATGTACGCCCGAACAATCCACGCCTGCTGCGCACCAATCTTGCAGGCACGCACACGGCACCCAAAACATCAAGCCGAGCACGATCGTCGCAAGACTGCTTACAGTATTGACTACGTACAGGGCCGTAGCTAGAAAAATTCCTAGAGGGGGCAGTGGCGGAATCAAGGAATTTTCAGGTCTGCGGGGTTCGCCCACAGAGAAAATTTTGAAAATGTGTAGATCGCACAGGAGTGGTATTTGAGGCACTTTGAGTACATGTACAGCCTTCATTGCTAGACTACGACAATTCTCTTTAGTAGCAACAATTAATTTTAGAATATTTGGCCCCAAAATCTAAGGGGCAGCTGCCCTAGACAATTCAACAGATAACAACAGAAGTTTATGCGAAACGTCATTTTCTTCAAAATCACCACACACAACACGCACTGACACATCGCACGGCACAGCACCAGCACGCCACAGCACGCACGCACGCACACACACCACACACACATTTAATTACATGCGAATAAAGATTTATAATTAATAATAATCATAACACACCACACGCACGCACGCACTCCCCCCACACACACCGCGGGGGGAGGGGGGCACTCGCCTAGTACTGGGTTAGGCGGGGGGGCTCCGGAACCTTTGAAAAACCTGACCCTGTCGCAAACCGCTTTGCGCCTAGAATACACCTGTCAACGGATTTACTGCACTAAAAAGTATACGCCTGTTGCAATATTGCACATATTCGGTAATGTCCTGTTCCTGTTAATGTAGGCAGAATCGGCATGGTGATATTGTCGCCAATATTGGTTTTTGGCCAATATTGGGTCCGATATGTGGAACCATATCTGTCCTTATATTGAAACCAATATCTGACATATATTGGTCCAATATTGGCGCTGAAGCGGTCGTTGTCGTATACAGGCGTTACTACATATATGTACGGCCGAAGGTAAACATATACTGTATACACAAAGTAATGTATTGTTTTATAAATATTAAATTTAAATAAAAATAAAATAAAATAAACAATACATTGCATTACAATTCAAAACCATTCTTTTACCATGTCTAATAACAACATCAAGTTCTTGACGCAAAGATCCATATAGTCCGGCGCTGTAGCAACCTACGGCGCTGATATTGATCCTTTAGCCTCATCTACACGACGAAATTTAACTCGAGTAAGCTAACTCGGATTAACCGTAACTCGAGAGTTTAGCGATATGTGCCGCTACACGCACTACGCGACTTTAGAATACCGGGATGCCACCAAAAAGCCTAGACACACTGTGCGATTTTAACGCTGGCCGC